CTTAGGAGAAAGGATCATTCAAAAGCAAAGTGTTTTTATTAGGATATTTGGTAGAAAAAAGAATTTAATGGCATGATTAATATTCTAATAGGATATACATTGTGCACTTTTGAGTTCTTTTTAAGAAAACAACTTTAGAAGATAATTTAAATTTAGATTTAATTTGACTGGAAATGATAATGCCTTCATCCTTTTTTTAGTTTCCAAGGTTTCTGGGTCAATGAAGGGATCATTTTGATGTCCTCATCTCAGAGTACTCATTTCCCTATGCTACACCTGAACTTCTGTTTTTTGTTAAAGGTGATGTGCTTTACCCATTTCTTCAACGAGATGTGAAGATAAGGACTACAGTCTCATGAGCTGTGTGAAAGAAGAGTATGTGAAAGTGTGGCTATTAGTAAGATACTACTCTTCTTTTTTCATATGATCATGGATTTTTGGTATTTTAAATATTTAATGATTTGAGAAACGTATAATACAATATAAGACATAATTACATTCTTAAGTGGGACTAAAGGAGGTAAGAAAAAGAAGGAAATCTTGTCCAGCTCCCGTACTTAAGAAATCTAATTTTAGTTCTCTAACATATATAACACACCTAGAGAGGATAAAAATAAATAAAATGAGATAAATTAATGAAATGTACATGTTAAAAATGGTTCCTATTATGTTACTAACATATACATTCAAATCAATGTACTTATTTCTAACTTGTTAATTACGTAACTTCTACAGTAGCAGGGTTCAAATCAATGGCTGTTTACTGGATGCATGTTGTTAAAAATATAAATTGATACAGCGACTTTGGAAAGCTGTTTGACGGTTTTAGCTAAATGTCGTTGATATATACAGGCTGTGTGTTGTGTGCATATGCAATCTCAGTCGTGCCCGACTCTTTCTGACTCCATGGACTATAGCTTGCCAGGTACCTCTGTCCATGCAATTTTCCAGGCAAGAATCCTGGAGCAGGTTGCCACTTCCTTTTGCAGGGATCTTCCTGACCCAGGGATCGAACCTATGTATCTTGCGCCTCCTGTATTGACCGGCGGGTTCTTTACCATCTGAGTCACTGGGGAAGCCCCTGTATGCAGTCTTAGTTCAGTTCAGTTGCTCAGTCAGGTCTGACTCTTTGTGACCCCATGGACTGCAGCACGCTAGGCCTCCCTGTCCATTACCATCTCCCGGAGCCTACTCAGCTCATGTCCATCGCGTTGGTGATGCCATCCAACCATCTCATCCTCTGTCGTGCCCTTCTCCTCCTGCCTTCAGTCTTTCCCAGCATCAGGGTCTTTTCCAGTGAGTTGGTTCTTCGCATCAGGTAGCCAAAGCACTGAAGTTTCAGCATCAGTCCTTCCAGTGAATACTCAGGACTGATTTCCTTTAGGATGGGCTGGTTTGACCTCCTTATAGTCCAAGGGACTCTCAAGAGGCTTCTCCAATACCACAGTTCAAAAGCATCAATTATTTGCACTCAGCTTTCTTTATAGTCCAACTGTCACATCTATCATCCAGGAATTCCACTTCTAAGAGAATGAGATACTTGATTATGCCAGAAAACTTAGAGGAAAACACAAAAAAGAGAATAAAAATAAACTGTTATCCTAGTATGGAGATAGCAATTGGTACTGACAACACTTTAAAGGAGAACCATATTTTACATACCATTTTGTAGCAGGCTTATTTTATACAATAATGGTTTGTGAATGTATTTTCATTTACTAGGTATTTAATAATGTTTTAAAAAGTCTGCCTATAATATTATAACATGGCTAAACCATAATATATTATGCTTATACTTAATAATTTTTTCTTGTTGGGTATTTAGGATATTTCTACTTTTTCACTACATTTAAATAAGTGTAGTAGACATTCATAATGTGAATTTTTAGCAAATATTTGAATATTAGAATAACTTCTTAGAAGTGAAATTTCTGGTTCAAAAAGTAGAAACATTTTAGATATTTATACACAAATTGCTAAAAATTATTGTGACTTATACTGCCTTCCATATGGCATGATATTGTCCAACATCCACAATAGGCATAATTATTTTTTCCAATCTTTGCCAAAGTTATAAATAAAATAGTTGCCTCTCATTCTAGCTTTACTTAATATGGTTTGACTTCTTAAAATTGACTTAAAAAAAAAGAGTTCTCTGTTCATCTCCTTTATTATTCTCATCTTATGTCTGTCTTGTTTGTAAGAATGGTTTATAAGCAGTAGCAATCAAAATTCTTTGCTTAATACTTATGTTGTGGATATACTTTTCTGTTTCATTACCAACTTTCATACTGCAAACTCTTTTCCCAAACTAGCAAACTCTGACATTCCCGTTTTTCCCTTTGAGAAAGCAGAATTTAGGGGACACTATCGTAACAGATAATTGGCATTAGGCACTTCTGTTGGACTTCATTTCTTACGTTTTCATTTCATGTCCTTTCTCTCCTGTTTTCAGTCCCTTTTCTTTACTTTTAGGGCACAATGGATATTTATGAAATTCGTATTTGCAGAGAGAGAACTAACATCCTTAAGTGGCTGCCAGGTGTCAGGTACTGTCCTAGATGCTTGACCACATTAATTCATGTGCATGTTATGTGCATGTTAAGTCGCTTCAGTCGTGTCCGACTCTGTGACTCTATGGACCGTAGCCTACCAGGCTCCTCTGTCCATTGGGATTCTCTAGGCAAGAATACTGGAATGGGTTGCTGTGCCCTCCTCCAGGGAATCTTTCCAACCCAGGAATTGAATCCATATCTCTTGAGTCTCCTGCATTAGCAGGTGGGTTCTTTACCACTAGCATCACCAAAAACCTTAATAAAGAATTATTTTCTTCATTTGATAAGCTGAAGAAGTAAAAGATAATCCAAATCATGTGTTCTTTCTTTATTGTCTTCCTTTCAACTTTCTTAATTTCACCCTCAACCTACTCATTTTGAAGTCTTTTCCATCCTTTTTTAAAAAAAGTATTTCTATTTATTTATTTGGGTCTTAGTTGTGGTATGTGGGATCTTTTATCTTCATTGTGGCATACAGGGTCTTCAGTTGTGGCATGCAGGGTCTTTAGTTGTGGCACATGGGATCTAGTTCCCTGACCAGAGATGGAACCCGGGTCCGTTGCAGTGTAAGCTTGAGTCTTAGCCACTGGACCACCAGGGGAGTCCTAAGTCTTCTCCATCTTTGTTCTGGCAATTCCATCCTTCCAGCTGTTAGGCCAAACCACTCAGCGTCCTCTTTGTTTTCTTTTTTATAGCCTAACATATTTGATAGAAATATTAAAATAATCATTACAGTTCCTCTTACTGTGGGGGTCAGGGAGGGGAATCCCTTCTGTAATCAAAGTAATAATTTTTGATCATGCAACAAGGCATTTTTGTTATTATGTCTATAGGTAGAGACTGCATTTCAAAGCAGATTGATATAGATTTCAAAGAGGCCTGGACTTACAGAGTAAGTGAAATTTATTTCAATATAAAAGTTACCTTGTATGCTGCCTGCATGCTCATATTCACAGTTTATAAAGTAAAAAAACCAAACTGTTAAAGTCCGTTCTGAAATAGATGCATTTTCATTAATACATTCACTAGTTAGGTCTCTTCTAAAATAGGGAGAAAGTCAGATATTTTTTAAGGAATAAACTCAACATGTCAGCACCAAATTTCAGTTACTCCTTGTCCTCCACACTCTATATCCAGTCTTCGAGGATTCCCTGTCAACTCACTCTGTCAACTACCTCTGTCTCCCTGGTCCGGTCACTCTCCTCTTGCTCCTGTGTTATTTCAGTAGCCTTCTCACTGGTCTCTGCTTCAGCCCTCACCCACCACTGTCCTCAACCCAGCAAAGTGATCCTATTACGAGGTGTCAGAAGACGTCACTTTCCTACAGAGAACCCTCCAGGGGCTTCCAGCTCAGGCCGCGGAGGGCCTCCCTTGACCCCGTCACCAGCACCTCTTCTCTGACTCCCTCTCCTGCCGCGGTGGCGCCCCGGTTGCCCCAGCACACTCAGGCATGTTCCCGCCCCTGCCTCAGGGCCTTTGTTCTTGCTGCGCTTTCTGCCTCAGAAGTCATCAGCTCACATAGCTTGGTTCCCAACCTCCTTCAGGCCTTTGCCCTAATATCGCCAGCGGCTTTCTTTGATCGCCTATTTAAGAGAACACGCCGCTTACTCCTTCTGTTCTGTCCCTGTCTAATTTTTCTCCACAACACTTCTAATCATATGGCGTGCGTGCGTGCTTAGTCACTTCAGCCGTGTCCGACTCTGCGACCCCATGGACCACGGCCCGCCAGGCTCCTCGGTCCATGGGATTCTCCAGGCAAGGATACTGGAGTGTGTTGCCATGTTCCTTCTCCAGTGATAAAGTATGAAGTGAGTGAAGTGAAGTCGCTCAGTCGTGTCTGACTCTTTGCGAACCCATGTGCTGTAGCCTACCAGGCTCCTCCGTCCATGGGATTTTTCAGGCAAGAGTACTGGAGTGGGTGGCCATTTCTTTCTCTGAATCATATGGCAGTCCACATATTTTCTTTATCATTTGTGTCTCCTGCCTGGAAGGTAAACTCCGTGAAGGCTACAATTTTTGTTTTTGTCCTCTGCTGTGTCCCCAATCCCTAGGAGAATGCCTAGCATGGACAAAACACTCTATAATGGATGAATAAATGAATCCCCCACATCCCAATTGTTAGAACAGGACGTGAGCTGCTGGGCAGAACTTTCTCGCTCCTATGCTTCTATCTCCCTGTCCTTCCACAGCTTTTAGTTAGCCACCTGTCTTGCATGTTATAGGTGGAAGGTTGGTGAATCCTGAGAGTTATTTGCAGCAGGTGCATCCCTGCTGCAGTCATCAAGAATAGCAGTGGTTGTAGAGCCGGAAGTGTGAAATTTTGCATCCTCTGATTACCAAGGTTGCAAGAGAGAACCCGAAGCTAGATAGAGTTGATTTTCGTTGTCACTGGATGCCATTCATCGAGAATGGAGGGAGGAAAATATACTTCCTCCAAAGGAGAATCTAGTGAGGCGCCAGCAGGATGTTGCGGGTAGGAAAAACCCCACATCCACCTTTGCAAGCCATAGTTCGGCCTAACCCGCTCTGATTGCGGCTCACCTCAAGTTTCAGCCAGACCAACCACAGGGCTCTGGAAATGCCAAGAGAGCCTCTAACCAGGAATTTGACTCCTCCTCCTGAATTTAAAGTTCAGAAAGCAGATCCTCGACTTTACCATCCAAACAGGCAAGGAGCGTGGAAGGAGGGGAAATGGGGAGGAGGAGGTGGCAGTGCCTGCAAGACAATGGGCAGGGTCTCCGATGATGAGCAGCCAGCAAACATGGTGTCCGGTCGTCCGTGGTCCGAGGTCTGGGTTCTGGAAAAGTCTGGGCTCTGGAAACGCAGTGCCAAAGGTCATCGCCATACCCTGGGCAATAGGGAAACGGATTCCCAACCTGCTGTCTCATTTTCCGAGGAGTTGTGAGATGGGGAAGTTTCTTTTTGCTGTTGAAATGTCCAATTAAATAGCCCTCATATTCAGGGGGAAAACTGCCAGTGAACTGTGACACGTACACCTATACTCACAGGGTGCGTGTCGCATGGAGGTGTCTCACCTTCTCCACTCAGCAGAACCCAAATAATGAGCCTTTTGGCACGACTGTAAACGTGGTGTGTGTGTGTGTGTGTTCGTGAAGGGGTGTAGTTCCAGCGACAGGCGAGTCCCCAAGGGCGAGGTGTCCTCCATTCCGCGGGGTTCAAGTTTCGGTGAAACGTTTCCTCAGAGGCTCCGCCTCCTTCACCTTGGCAACGGGCGCCCCGGCCACTTGGCAGCCGACCCCGCCCCCTCCACCCCGCACCTGGCGGCCACGCGCCGGGGCAGGGGCGGGGCCTGCGAGGGGCGGGGCCGGCGGGCGGGGCCGGCGCGCTTCCCGGGGCCGGCCTGGCAGGTTGGGCCCCTCCCCGGCCGGGCCCCGCCTGCGCTCCCGAGGGCGCGGGGTAGGGGGGCGGGGGAGCCGGGGAGCGGCGCGACTCCGCCACCCGCTGACGCACCGTCGGGGAGCTGCGCTCGGACCTTCTCCCGCCTCGTCCTTTCCCGGGGAGCCGCTGTAGACTTGAAGCCGGGCCGGGGGGAGCCCAGCCGAGATCTGCGAGCTTCGGCCGGCCCGGGAGCGCAGCGGACAGTCCCGGACCCGGCGAGGAGCCCCCTGCCCCTTCCCCGCGGCGTCCGGCGCGGGCAGTGGCACAAACTTTCTGCACCGCCCCCGCACCGCGCCCTCGGGAGGGGGAGCCGCGGCCACTGACAGGTACGTGGCGCGCGGTTCTGAGACTTGGGCTGAGGGGCTCTCTTCCTTTAGGGGTTGTGGGAAGCGGGAGAGCAGAAGCGCCTCTTCCTGAGCTCTCGGACCGGGCGGGAGGCGCAGGAATTGGGAGGGGGCCCTTGGGAATAGCCCAGACACGATCTCTGTGTCGGGCCAGGCGCGGCGGGGAGGAGATTGGCTCCCCGAGCTGCGGGACCGGGCGTTACTCTGTGACTGACCCCGGGGGAGAGAGAGCTAGCTTGTTTTGACGGAGAAGGGTGGCGTTAGGGCTCTCCACCCTTTTCTTGGTCCCTGGGGCCGGAGAGCTGGGTCCTGCGGGAGCAACAGGCAAAGGCGAAGAGGTCTGGGGCTCAGTTTTCTTCTCCAGACCGTGTCGCTTTTACAGTAGAGGCAGAGGCGGTGCCACGCTAAAGTTTGAAGTACTTTCTAGTGTGAGGACTTACTTGTTGGGTGGGTTTTGCTCAGTTTCATCAAGTTCTCTAATGAAACGGCTTTCAAGTCGTAGTTATTGACGGTGATGATGATGATGGTGTGTGTGTGTGTGTGTGTGTGTGTGTGTGTGTGTGTGTGTGTCCTGCTCCGACCTTAACAAAGGTCCCTTGTTATAATTCCACTTCTGCTCGGGAGTGGAACTGCTGTCCTATTTCAAGAGCCCAGCCAGAGCCAGGTGTTGATGGCAGGGGTAGCCTTGTTTCCTGGGGACTTTGGGAAACAAGTGGGCAGGTCTAATGAATTAGCCCAATTCTGTCCCACCCACTTGGATCCATCCATTCTTAATAGAGCCCTGTTTTGTTAATCCCAGACTCCTAATTTATCCTGGTCTGTTCTGAATGGATGGATCCAACTGGGTGCACAGGGAACTCTTCCCAATATTCTGTAATAACTAAAAAGGGAAAAGAATCTGAAAAAAGAATGGATATATGAATGTGTATAACTGAATCACTTTGCTGTACGCTTGAAACTAACACAATGTTGTAAATCAACTATATTCCAGTATAAAATAAAAATTAAACAAAAAATAGACCCAGCTTCCACCATTCAGCAGGTGCTGCAACCTTAGCCATCCACGGTGAGGAATATTCCCAGTGGAAGAAAGAAGATTAGAACAGAGAAGAGAGAGTCCTGAGGAGGAGTGTAACAGTGCATACCACTTGTTGCTTCCTTGTAGACTGGGCCTGCTGCCTGCCTTCTCTGGAAGGGGCCTGCTATCAAATTCATCTTATTAGGAAGTCAGCTGCTCTCTGCTAATAGCCACAGCAGCCCTGATGAAATTATGTAGGTCATTGAAAAATAATTCCTGCTTAATCACCTTTATCCTGTTGATTAGTGAGAGAAAAGATTTCCTTGCCTTAATGTACCATGTCTGGTTGGCAGGGTCACCTGCCTGACCTCAAATTCACTTGGACACCTGGCCCTGGACAGGATGTTTTCCCTGAAACTGCCCAAATGTAGCATACCACAGCCCAAGTCCACATTTGGAGAACTTGAGCGGTCTTCCCTGGACCAAAGTCGAACAGGAGATTCAGTCTGTACATTTATAGCTTAATGTGGCATACTTGTTGGCTTTAGATAACCTTTTCAGATAATGAAAAGCTGGTTTCTTTTAGTTCCAGTTAATTCCTTTCCGCCAAGTTCATAGAAATTGTTTCCATGTTTGTTTTGAAATAAAGTTTGGGGTCCCATCTGTCATTTGTCCTGTAGCTTTCGGAATAGGATTTAACTGTGTGGGGTAGATAGAAAAGACAAGAGAAACTGCCTATCACTGAACTAGATTCAGAGAGAGATTTAGAGTGGTTTCACAATCTAGGCACAACTACCCAGCTAGCTTCCTACCTTCCCCTAAGTAGAGACAGTATGGTTGTATCAATTTATATAAAAGAAAAGATATTTATTTGGCTGTGCCGGGTCTTAGTTTCAGCACATGGGATCTTCGATCTTCGTTATGGCATGCGAAATCTTTAGTTGTGGCATGTGGGATCTAGTTCTCTGACCAGGGATCCACCCTGGGCCCCTTGCTTTGGGAGTGTGGAGTCTTAGCCCCTGGACAACCAGGGGAGCCCAGGTTGTATCACTTTTAATGTAGGCCTTTGAAGACCAGAAATGAGAGGACTGTTTTACTACAGTGTCGGTAGTGCATTGCTGGACAGTTCTTCGTGATAACTTCTCGAAACTGGTTCAAAACACTTTCTCTGCAAAGTTCTTTTCTGCCATAATAGAAAGTGAGTAGATTATATCTGCAAATCAGAAAGCAGATGTACAAATAATGTTGAAATATAGAGGTACATATTAGAAGAAGCCTGAGGTGTGACTTTTGAAATTATGTTCTTGTTTTACTTTTCAAAAAAGAATTTGATAAGAAAGCTCCCTCTCTCTGCAAATATAAAACAGAGTTGCTTTCTCTGATCCCTGCTTAGATGCTCAATGTTCTGTGTACAGTTGTCTCATCGGGTGGTACCGAGGCCCTTGGAAGAGCTGGCCCCTCAGATTTTGGCCGTGGAGCATGACTGACTTCACTCTTACTTCTCACGCCTCTGTGAAGAGTGAACACCTCCACTTCACTCTTACCCTAATGATGTCTGCCTCTTAGTTTTTAGCCTACACAGGAGAACAGTGTTCAAGTGACCAGTAGCTTCAGGAACTCCATTTATAGGGATCTCTTAGTGAAGACAATAACAGAAAGTAACTTTTTTGTGGGTCTTGAGATGGCTGACTTAACCAAAAAGGCAGCTCTTGCCATTGCTTCTTGGCCTTTTGGCTAAGATCAAATGTAGTATGGTGGCTTCCCAGGTGGCACAGTGTTAAAGAATCCTCCTGCCAATACAGGAGATGCAAGCAATGTGGGTTCGATCCCTGGGTGGGGGAAGATCCCCTGGAGAAGGAAATGGCAACCCACTCCAGTATTCTTGCCTGAAAAATCCCATGGACAGAGGAGCCTGGTGGGCTATGGTCCCTGGGGTTGCAAAGAGTCGGAACATGACTGAGAGACTGAGCACATACCATATTTGTGCTTTGTGATTTAACCATTTTGAAGTTCGGGCTATTATATTCAGATTATACAGGAGGAAAACAGATGAGACTCCGAGAAAATAAACTTTTAGATGCATATTTTGTTCCTGTATGTGGTGAACTCAGACCCAAGTGCGGTGTTTCTGGTTTAGAAGCCAGGCTTTTAATTTTTTTCTCTGCTGCATTGTGTGCAGTGTTTGGATGCAAAATGGGGGTCTTATTTCTCATTAACCGAAATGCGTGCTCATGGGGGACTATAGAAATACGTACTTACGTGTGTGTGTACATGCATGTCATCTTTATATCCTTTGCATCTTAACAGTGTAGCCGCACCCCAGGAGGTGGGGTAGGTAAATAAATACCCTACTAGTTGCCATAAGGAACTTTGACTAGGATCTACAGTTGAAAAAAATCAGAAAATAGAATTTAAGTGTGGTCTTTACAAATATGGAATTAATTTCTAGAAGAAACATCTAAAACAGTTGAAAGGGCTTCTTTTGGAGAGTGGAACTCAAGGGAGAGGCGGAGCCAGGTGGGACTCTGGTGTTTTGGGCCAAGTACGTTATAACCTTATATGTTATGCTGTGTACATGTGTATTGCTTTTTTAGGTCGTCTTTGGCAAGGAGAGAGTAAAGGTTTGTTTTTAGAATTTTAGAGCCAAAAGGGACCGTAGAGATTATTTCCAGCCCTTTCATCTTGTAGGTGAGGAAATTGAAATATAGTTTAATTGTTTTGCTAAGGTCTCCCAGGTTCACACCCTTCCCCAGGCAGGAGGAACATTCCTCCGTGCTTGTGATTCCTTAGTTACCTTTCCAGGCATTGCTCCCTTCTCCTTTCTGTCTACTTTTTACAGTGTTTGGTTAGATTGTTGGACTGTGGATTCAAAACTAGGTGATTATCTCTAATTCTTCATATTTCTATCACAGAAGTGCTGCAGAGTTTCAAAGTCTGCATAATCTGTACATTTTTGAGGTTAATTCTGTAATAACTTTTAATTAGAATTAGAGACACTTTTGCAGTCTGTCTGCAGCTATTCAGAAATTGATGGTGTTACTCAGTTGAATTTGATAAATACTGGAGTTTGGCCTAAACTTTTATCCCTAGAAGCTATTACTAATGGGAGATGATAAGAAGGTCTTTCTGATATCTATGTATGTTGCTTAATTTTGAAATTCTGAGAATAAGGCAACAACGGTCTTCCAAGAGAGAGGCAGAGGCAGGTGATATAGCAGAACTATAATAGAAAGGTTTTTAACAGTCTAACATTTCTCTTTTCCTTATACATGAGATTTTCTACTTTCCCTCCAAAATTATATCACTAACTTAAAACTTTATTTTTTCTGATTATACACACAATACATATTATTCAACATTCAAACACTATAGAAATATGCAATGTTGAAAGTTAAAAGTGCACTGTGATGTTGTATTCTAAAGAAACTTCCCCCAAATTTTCTGAAATTAAAATGTTTATAATTGTGATTTTAATAACAAGTGGTAAAATAGCACAACTTTCAACTTAATTTTTAGCTTAATATCATTGAAAATGTTTCCATAGCCACACATACAGGTCATACTGTGTAGTATTGCATCACAGGTAATTTAAACAATTTCCAGTTGTTGGAAATGTGGGTTGTTTCCCATTTTCCCGTAGTAAGAATAGTGTTTTGGAGAACATCCTTGAAAGTATATCTTTGTACAGTTGGGTAGGAAAGGTTTGTGAAAGAGTCAGAGGGATGAAAAGTTAAATTTCTCTAATTTATACTTCCTCTAGTAGTGTCTCTACATTTTAAACTATATTAATGGCTTTTTTATTTTTGAATGTATTGGACCAAAGATAGAAATTATTAATATATGAGCAGACTCTGAAACAAAGGTCATAGTAACAAAAGGCGCTGAGCTTTTAGGTGAGGCTCACCTCATTTCAGATTTTTTTGGTTTTAATGTTTTCCCCAAGAGAATATAGTAATTGATAATAGCTCTAAAAATACTCTGCAGTTGTTGGATGAGCTGCTAATTACTTTTTATGGAGCATAGTTAAGAAACTTTTTTTTACAGAACATTATTCTAGGACATGCCATTAAGGAGTTCAGGGGAGTCCACTAGGCTTTGCAGAATGCAAAGTGAGTGTGTTTTAGCTCCCCTTGTGTGAAAATTTACCTCTGTTGAAATATTGGTCATGGGTCAATTTTAAGATCTTTAGACCTGCAGAAAGTCCCAAGAACTAATTTTACTCATCTATGTGTGGAAAATGTGAAATATAATACTTTGGCTAAATTTCATAACCTAGGCTCATTGAAGCAGGAACATTTCAGGAATTCCTGTGGCAAAGTTTTTATTGGTCATCTTAGAGAGCTGATTAATATTTTCATGGAGTCCAAGCTTTGTTCATAACCATTCAATTAGAGGATTGTGTTTCATTCCTCAGGATGAATACCTTCTGTTTCGTTTGTGTTCATGGAACTTGTACTTGGAGTTCATCCATGATTTTCTTTGTAACATATTAGAATGAGTATAAAAACATCTTAACAAATGTAAATGTACACACATGTACACTTATATATATATATACACATACCCTATGTGTGTATACACACACACACATATATACACTATGCATAAGTAATATAAACTATACTTTAAAAATATCATCAGTAGGTCATTTAGCATAAATATTTGGTGCACCCTTAAAATTAAGATGATGTCTGCCCATATTTATTTTATTAGGAAAAAAGCTTCTTGATGTCTTTTATATGAAAAAATTCTTAATTTATTAAGAATTTTTTAGGATACAGGTGAAACTTCATTGTTTGTATATAGTTCTTATGTTTTGGGTTTTTTTTTTGTGGGAAGATGAAACATATCTTGTGTATTAGTCTTGGTTATTGCCTGGTCTCTAACACTCACTTTTTTAATAAGTTGAATATTTAAAATCCCTCCTGTTTGTGATATATTTCAGAATGTTTACACTCTCCTTATTTTAAGCAAGATGCAGTAATGTTTATGAAAAAAATGGCAATAGGACTTGCATTGACCTTGATTTGCTTCAGGAAATACGAGACAATGTGCTGTTTACTCGAGTTGTATTAAAAACTTAATGGTTCATGCTGGTTTCTTACCAGCTTGATGAAGTTTGTCCTTCCGTTTCCTCCTTGTGCTTCTCCACTGGGTTCATGTTGAGGCCTTTGTGTGTCCAATTTGGAAAGTGGACCCTGCATGTGCTCTTGACGAGTCAGCTTGTAAGTTGTGTTTTGGTTGTTTGGGGGCTGGTTGTGTTGCCACCTCCCTTTTTTCCTCCTAAAGTCATCCTACCTCTTGATCGTGTTTTAGGATTGGTGTGCCACCTAGGAGTGGTCATTCCTCCACAGTGAATCACAAAACGAGTCGGTCTTGTGAGACTTTCTGACTCAAGCCTGACTGATTCAACCTGCTGTCCTTCCGGCTTCTGTCAGGAGGGGCACTCCTGGAACAAACTCTCAACTTGGCTCCCGTCCCTACACGAGTGATCCCTAAACCTGCATCCTCATTGCTGACTTTTGAAATCCTAGGCTTGCTTCTCCAGTTCCTGCTACATAGGTCTTTATTTGGATCCTGACATCCTATTAAACCATAGGATGACAAGTCACCTAGCTGAGTACCTACCTTATTGTGAACAGAATCCTATACGCGTTTGTTGTTCATGGTCTGCATCTTATTATCTCAGGGGCGATTGTAATATATTTTACCTTGTTTTCATTTCCAGTTTTTCTTTCTGTCATCCATTTTCATGCCATGATTGGTCTGATTCTGTAAAGTACAGCTTTGCTTATGTCACTGATCATGGCCCTTGTTGCCTACTGAGTAATAAGTCAATTCAAGGTTTAATGGCTAAATTTAGGTGCCAAATTCAGTTGATTGGGGGACATGTTGTCCAGGGATTTGGTTAAACGTTGTTTGGGTGTGTCTGTGAGGGTGTTCTGGATGAGATTGACGTTGGAATTGGTGGACTGGGTGGAGCGGATGGCCTTTCGGTTGTGGCTGGGCTTCTTCAGCCCACTGAGGACCTGAATGGAACAGAAAGGCTGAGGAAGGGAGGATTGGCTCGCTCTGCCTGACAGTTTTCGAGCCAGGACATCCACCTTCTGTGCCTTTGGCCTTAAGCTGGGGCCTGAACTGTATCATCAGCTGTTCTTCTCCGGTGCAGATCTTGGGACTTCTCAGCCTTTGTAATTGCGCAAGCCAATTCCTTATGATAAACCTGTCTGTCTGTCTGTCTATATATATAAAAATATACATCCTTTATTTACTTTTAACGTTTTTGGTGGAGTCTCGTTGCTTTACAGGGTCATGTCAGTTTCCGCCGCACAGCAGAGCGGGTCGGCTGTACGTATCCACATGTCCGCTCTTGGATTCCCTCCCATTTAGTCACCACAGAGCACTGATGAGTTCCCGGTGCTATGCCACTAGTGTACATAGTCGTGTAAATACGTCAATCACAGTGTCCCGGTGCATCCCCCCCCCCCCCCCCGCCGCCCCTTTCTCCCGTTGCTGCCCACGTTTGTTCTCTGCGTCTGTCCACCTCCGTTATCTGTGTGGTTGGTTCCTTCCCTGGAGATCCCTAACACTCGAGGCATCTGGGACGTGCCCCACGCGGATCCTCTGCTCAGGCGGCTGTGCCGATCTGTTCTTGGTTCCTGAGCACACCTACCTCTTCCTTGCCTGCTGTCTCTGATGGGACCAGTCCTTCCTCTTGCCTATCTCGGTGATGTGAATTCTTCAAATGCAGTCCTAAGCTTATATCCTCCATTAAGCCTTTCTTGGCTATCTTTTCCTGTAGCAGTTTCCTGGCATCTGAACCTCTGTACTGAAATTTTAGGAATTTAGTCATTAGACATTAGCTTTCTAGTGTTAAAAAATCTTTTATACAATTGTCCTTGTTCCTAGTTATGAACTCCATGAGGACTCAGCTCAAGCTCTATACTGCAAATTCTCCACTGCTCTTGGCTTTGCTTCACATGGTAGGTGGTCATTGTTTCCTGATTTTTTAAAGCACTTAAGTTCTGCCAAGGAAGGAGAGGCATGTGTGGGGCACGTGTGCTCACTCCCCGACCTTGTGCCCAGGGAAGAAGCGTGCAGCTCAGTGCCCACCGTACCCAGAACTCTTCATCAGAGCAGTGCTCCAGGGAGACTCTGCCAGGTGTTTGGTGTTGTTATTGGAAACAAAACTTACACATCGTCCTTGACCTAGAGCTAACTTTTCCTAAGAAAAAGTTGAGCCACATTTAAAGTTCTGTTGAATTAGCCCTTTCCTGAAGTACTGGTTTGCAACTATTTTTCCTCTCATCTGCTTTGCTCTTGTCTCTAGAAATTCCCTTGGCTCTGCCCGTGGTGAAGTCATTTCGTATCTTCCTCCGTAATTATGTTAACATAGCATGTTGGTGTCAATAATTTTGAGCAAGGGTCAAGAAGATGAAATATGGAAAAAGAGCTCTGTGTTCCTAGGCAATTGTCCAATTTTGTGCACATTTCATTCAAGCTCTGTTTGATTTTCCTCGTTTCTCCTGCAGTTGAATGTCGTTTTTGAGGAACATCATTGCAAATCTGACCTCCTTATGCACTTTGTTATGTCTTAATCTCAGGGTGTTACAGATCCTCTGCACATTCCTTCCCCTTTCTCCTGCTGTCCTGTACTTATCTTCTAACATATTACAATTTACTTATTTATTTTGTGTATTGTTTAATCACTTAACCTCCGAATAAGAACGTAAAGCTTCACGAAGGGCAGGGATCTCCGCTGAATTAATTTTGACTCTCTTTGGCTGTGTCCCAAGATGTAGACCAACGCCTGCCATTCAGTAAGTGTTTGTTGAATTGAATGGGAGTTTGCTGTCTTTTTTTTAAAGAGTAAAAAAATTATGTATGTGGCTGCACTGCTTCTTCACTGCAGCACACAGGATCGTCAGTCATGTCAGACAGAATCTAGTTCTTTGACCAGGGATCAAACCCAGGCCCCTTGCACTGGGAGCATGGAGTCTTAGCCGCTGGTGGCTTAGCCAGTTAGCCAGCCCCCAGGGAAGTGCTCGGAAGCCTGCTGTCTTGAAAACGCTTCATACCCTTGGTTGTCTGGGCTTTCTGTTAAATCGTGTTGGCCCCTCTTTCTTTTTTCCTTCTTGTTACTGAAGGTCCCTTCTATTGAGACCTGGGCTTCCCAGGTGGCATTTGTGATAAAACACTTGCCTGCCCATGTGGGAGACATCGCAGACAAGGGTTCAGTCCCTGGGCTGGGACGATCCCCTGGAGGAGGGCATGACAGCCCACTCCAGCGTTCTTAGCTGGAAAATCCCACGGACAGAGGAGCCTGGCAGGCTACAGTCCATAGGGTCACAAAGAGTCGGACATGACTGAAGCGACTCAGCACATCTAGCCCGAGGGTTTCAAACCACATACCCACCTGTTCCCCAGGTCGTTGCCTTTGTTACAGCCGCATCTATAGCAGGAGTAACTTAGAGTCTCCCAGCTGTTCGTGGTTTGAAAAGCACTGTTGCACATATGATCTCATCTGAAGTCGTTTCGTGTCGGGACAGCGCTGAGCCCTTTAGGGCTGTCTTTCACTAGAGCATGCAGGTTAGCGAAGTCGCATGCCATCAAGGGGTACAGCCATTTGCCAGTGTGTGCTGGGCATACTCTGCCCTTGGCTCTGCTCTTGCCGGCTTACAACCAAGGAGCGTGCCTCTTTGAGAGCAGCTCTGGCCTTCTTAGGAACAGTCACTGTCTTGCTCAGAAGAGTGTATGTATGGTATAAGGCCCCCAAGTAGAGTGGAAACAGTGAGGAAGGAAAAAAAGAGTCAGGCAACACCAACACGTGTATGGGACACTTCTCATTGGAAAGCCCTTGGGTAGATGCTGGAAACAGTTGTTGCTTCGAAGTTAGTTTAATATATGTAGTTCCAGCAGCAATTGGACACAGAAGCATGGAATGGAGAACCTTGGCCTGAAGGATGCAGATCGTGTAGAGATGGGAACTGGTGATTTTTGGGTTCTCTGTCAGTAAATTGGTGTTCCTGTCCTCCTGGTCTGTCGTCATTGAGCTAAGAAGATGCAGCCATTTTCTTCTTAAAGGGCTTCTGTTCTTGCCTCCAAGCCATGGAGTGCGCAGTAACTATTAGTGTCTAATGATGACACAGGAATATTCCTCTGAGCAATTGCAGAGCTGAAGGTGCGTCACACATCGACAGGCTCTCACAAATCTCCTTTTGCTGTTTTGAAATATCACCGCCAGGGGAGTTGTATACATCTTGTTCAGGCAGAGGGGTCTTAAATATTCATCCTTTTACCTCTTCCTTAAGAGGAATGCCAGCATTTTGTCTTCAGGCTGCCAGTAGTAATTTTGGAGAAATTGGATTATAACTTTTTCAAGGTATTTATTTTCATATAGCTCAGTTATTTATGCATCCATATATTAAAGTTATGCTTAATGATGAAGGGCATGTCCTTTGAGGTCAGTGGAGAGTCAGGGGTTAAATGGAGGTCTTTGGTGAGTTATCCTCTCTGGTAAGTTAATTAGCAAGTATTTATTGTTGTGGGAGGCAGCATGGGCGTGGTGGAGAGAAGGTGCAATTTGGACACATATCTGGTTCAGACCTCTGCTTTGCTATTTAATAATTGTGTCTTTGAACCTGTTACTTTCCTGTGCTGAACCTTAGCTTCTTTATGTTTTTGTGCTCAGTTGTGTCCAACTCTTTGCAACCCCATGGACTGTAGCCTGCCAGGCTCCTCTGTCCATAGGATTCTCCAGGCAAGAATACTGGAGTGGGTTGCCATTTCATCCTCCAGGGGATCTTCCTGACCCAGGGATTAAACCTACATCTCCTGCGTCTCCTGTATTGGCAGGTGGATTCTTTACTACTTGGGCCATCGAGGAAGCCCAAGTTTATAATGCTCCCCCCGGCCACCGTAGGAATTTTCCTTGAGGGTTAAATAAGATAACACATCTGAAATGCTTAACATGTAAGTATTAATCAATACATGGTGATTGTTATTTATGTACTAAATCTCTGTTAGCACTCTTCTAGGGATTGTTAGTGGGATTCTTTCAGAAGTTATGAGTTAATATGTCTGCAAGGCCACAGAAGATGTTGACAGACATGTATTTGACATACAAAAAATTAGGACAGCTTGTGATTAAGTGTTATTTGTGCAGAAAGTAAGCATAAGAAACCAGAAATGTAGAGGTCACTGTGGTGGGGATTGTATTCGGATTCCTTTGGTTGTAAGTTGTAGAAATTTCAACTATATGGAAAGGAAATTTATCGACTCACATGGTCAAAGGTGTGAGAGAAGTGAAGGAGGTATTGGAAGCCAAAGCTGGAGGCTCCTATACCACTGAGCGTCTCCATGTCTTTTCCCAACTTGTCCCTACTTCTCTCTGGGTCGGTTTTCTCCACGTGGCTGAGGGCATGGCTGCCCAGAAGTCAAGGATCACCCAGAAAGAGGGCCTGAGCTTTTAATCTACATCTCAGACTCCTGGGGCTGCCTCTGGTTGACCTCCCTTGGATGGTACCCTTTTCCCCGGGGCTGGCAGCACATGTTGTTTGGTAATCAGCAGCCCCATCTAGAAGCACATCGTTTGGGTGGGGAAAAGGAGCAGTCTCCTGAGAGAAGGACCGTGCCATTCTTGGAAGAAGGGTGGGCGCTGGATGCAGGAGCGGGAGCTGTGTTTCCTGCTGAGGGCAAAGAGGACAGCTTGAGCTGGTTGCAGGGAGAGCGCCAGGCGTACAGACACCGACCAGAGACACCGAAGTCCAGATAAAGAGGATGGGTTGTATCAGTGAAGCAGGGTCTGGTAGCCTCAGGCTGACTGGTTCACAGGGCTTGGTTGAAGAGTTTGGACTGATCTGATGGGGCGTAAATCCTGAGAATCGACATCAGATCGACACAGTCATGTTGGGTCCTGCCTTTTGTTCTTTTTTTTTTTTTTTCCTGCCTTTTGTTTTTTAAAAATAGGTTTCATATTGTAGGTGGAGTATTTGAACTGGTAACTTGAGGACTAAGTGGAGTGCCCTTGAGAAGTTACACTCATTGAGTCAGACCAGGGTAGTCTTTATAGTCAAGAGGCGGATATCTGTCCTGATACTACCTTAAAAAGATGTTATCAAGCACTTACCTTACTTCTCCTGTTTTTTTTTAAAAACCAACGCTGTATTTCAGGGGAACCAACAAGTGGTTTGGACAAAAACCTGATTTTTAGAATTCCAACTCAAAAGTGCAGAAGGAATGACATAATGAAATAACAACCTAGGGAATGATTGTCAGTGACACCTGAAACTTAGGTCAAAGGGTACTTGGGAACTTTATACTTGATAACATCAGACAGAGAATCCCTGTGCCCACCGATTGGTGTTAACATCACAAAAAGAGAAAAAAGTAAATGTGTGCCCCCTAATTGGATAAAATAGGAAATATGTAGAAACATTTGACATTTCTTATCAAAAACCTGAATACGATTCTGATCAAGACTTTGTCTCTAATTGCTAGTTTATAAGAAGCACAGGAAAAAGGGGACCATGTTTAAAAATACTGTGGAGGTGTGATCAGCCAAATCCAGAATGTAGATATTTCTGCAGAACAAGTTATTTTGTTTATTTAGTAAATAAATGGCAAGAAAAACAAAGAAGGAAGAGCTATTATTTTTTTCCTCAAAGTCAGTGTCAGATAAGTGTTTTTATTTATTTTTCATATTTTAAAAAGTTGCCTTGAGACTTAAGAGACATAAGTATTTTTGTATCTTGGTTTGGCTAAATCACCACAAAGTTATAAATTATAAATATGAAATTGAGATAATTTGGGAAATTTGAACTCTGGATT